CGGGAGCGCCGCCGTGCTTCCCAAGCGGCGCACTATCCAGTGCGCCACCGGGCCAGCCCAGGTTCTTGAGTTTTGCTTGTTATTAATTTTTAGTTTTAATTCGCTGTGGCTTGAAAAGATACTTGAAATGATTTCAGTTTTTTTCTTGCTAGTCACAACATTTATTTAAATATTTATTTTTGATTAAACATATTTATGCGGTACAGAGTTTACTATTAATATTTGTTTACAGTATGTGATGATCAAATCAATATTACTAGCATGTTCATTATTACAAATCATAATTATGCTTCTTGTGTCTTACCCCGTTATTCCCTAACCATCATCCTCTCCCTCTCGTTTTCCCATCTATGGTAATTATAGGTTTGTTCTCTCCTTCTGAAAGTTCAACATTTTATTGTGTTCTTTCTTTCCTTCTTTCTTTCTTTTTTCCTTTCTTCTTTTCTCATTTTTTTTCAATTTTTAAAAATTTGGTGCAACTTGATTTATCATGTAACATGTCATCTATCCTGGAGAATGTTCCATGTGGTGATGAGAAGAATGTGTATTCTGTAGTTGTTGAATGAAATGTTCTGTAGATATTTGCCAAGTCCAATTGGTCTAAAGTGCAGTTTAAATCCTGTATTTCTCTGTCGATTTGTTGCCTAAATGATCCTTCCAATTTTGAGACAGGGATGTTGACATCCCCAACTATTACTGTACTGGGGTTTATATTTATGTCTCTTTACGTATGACAGAGTTGCTTTATGTATCTGGGTGTATATATTTATGACTTTCATATCTTCTTGCTGGATAGATCCCTTCATTACTGCATAATTACCTTCCTCATCTTTTTTAAAACAGTTTTTGGCTTAAAATCTATTTTATCTGATACAAGAGTAGCTATTCCTAGTCATTTTTGGTTTCCATTTGCCTGGTATATCTTTTCCACCACTTCACTATTAATCTGTGTGAGTCTTTACAGGTGATGGAAGTTTTTTGTAGGCAGCATATAGTTGGGTTTTGTTTTTTAATCCATTTAGCCAGTCTATGTCTTTTGATTGGGGAATTCAATCCATTTACACTTACGATTGTTATTGAAAGATTTTGTCTTGCTCCTGGCATTTTATCAATTTTCATTTGGATGTTTTAAATACCTTTGGTTCCTTTCTTCCTCTTTTATTGTCTTTTTTTGGTGTTTGTTGGATTTTTGAAGTGGTAAGGTGTAGTTTGTTCTCTTTCTCATTTGCATTTTTGTTCTACCAGCAGGTTGTATTCTATCTTGTGTATTTGTGGTAGTGATTATCATTTTTTGGATTCTTGATCCCGAACTCCCTTGTGGATTTCTTGTAGGGCTGGTGGTGTTGTGGTGAACTCCTCAGTTTTTGTTTGTCTAGAAAATACACTATTTCCCTTTCATTTCTGTAGGATAGCCTTGCTGGGTATAGTATTCCTGGCTGGCACTTTTTTCTATCTGTACTTGAATATATCATCCCAGAATATATCATTTTATTCTGGCTTGTAAGGCTTCTGTTGAGAATTCTGCTGTTAGTCTGATGGGGATTCCCTCCTAGGTGATGACGCTTTTCTCTTGCTCTTTTTAGGATCTTTTTCTTTGTCTTTGACTTTTGACAGTTCAGCTATAATGTGTCTCAGAGAAGAGCTTTTTGGATCGAATCTGATCAGGAGATCTTTGAGCCTCTTGGATCTACCTGGGAAGTTTCCACTATTACTTTGTTAAGCAGGTTTTTAATGACTTTCCCTTTTTCTTCTTATCCTGGAACATCATAATTCAGATGTTTCTATGCGTAAGGTTGTCTGGAAAGTCTCATAGGTTTTCCTCATTTTTTAAAATTCTTTTTGTCCATGTGGGTTATTTCAAAAAG